AGAGAGAGAGAGAGAGAGAGAGAGAGAGAGAGAGAGAGAGAGAGAGAGAGAGAGAGAGAGAGAGAGAGAGAGAGAGAGAGAGTTGTTGTTGTGTTGTGCAACTACCATTGAGCGGTTCTGTTCATCGAGCGGGAGAAGACGAAGTAAGTGTTAAACAACCTGCCGCGAGCCTCTCTGATTCGGTTGTGGGTGATCTATCCATTTGTATGACACTGCGCGAGAAAGAAAGGGAAACGGTGCAACACTGTGTGATTCGATTGTGCATTGATCTAGCTAGCCGTTTTTCTGGCGCTGCCTGGGATAGCGGGCACGTGGCAACAACAGTCGCCTCAGAGAGAGAGAGTAATGGCCAGTGCCGTTGCAATGGTAGTTGGTGCAGGCGGAGCTGGTAAGGAGGGGGAGCGAGAGCGAATCGTCGGTCGCGTGAGTCGGAAGAGATCGAGTCGTCATAACGCCAACGGTTACGATCATTCGGAGCCCTGCGCTGACGTGGATGGGATTGGATCCACGCGGCAGCCGGCTGTGCGCAGGAGGTTTGATCATAATCCTAATGAGCCTCCGGCCACGGCAGGCAGTTCATCATCAGCTGCTTGCGGTTCTACTATAGATCAATCTGAACCGGAAACAAGTGTGAAAGGGTCAGCGGCAGCTTCCTCGGCGGTGGCAACGACCGAAACGAGGACGGAGTCATGTGCGGAAATCGGTGGGGACCGATGTCCCCCCGTGGAACCGAGTGCCCGCAGATCGGAACGTCTGCCCGCAAGGGCCCGACAAGCGCCTCAGAGGCTGGAACCCTTATCCCGGGAGGAAGAGGTGAGATGACGTGATTCTTTCCTCTTTTCGTCGTTCTTTCCTTTTCCTCTCCCTCCTTTCCATTTCCCCCTCCATCCCTCCTTTTAAAGGGGCACTGAAGAATGGGAGATGTTAATCATCCACCTTCTTTGAGTCATTGGAAAAGTCAGAACGAAAGAGTGTGAGGAGGTGAGTCTTTCCTTTTCCGTGAATTCTTTCCTCGTCCGTCAATTCTTTGCTTTTTCTTTGTCTCTTGTATGTTTTTTCCTTCTCCCCCTCCAACCCCTCTTGATAAAGATGTAGACTGGCGAATGTGGTATTAATCGACTTGTGAAAGAACGAGAATGTAAGAAGACAAGGGGGGAAGAGGACGACAGGCGGACTACGGAAAAAAGATCAATGGGGAGGAGAACGACTGGAGATGGCATTTTAATCCCCACCACCTACAACCGTGGAAGAAGTCCCTTTGCCTCCTGTTCCTGTCCTTGTCTACTTTTCCCCTCCCCTGTTCCTCCTCTCTCTTGCGCCTGAGGATGCTCCGCTTGCCAGTTCCTTTTTGTTTCCTAAAGATAGTGATTCTCGCCGTCGCCCACCACCACCCCTCTCCACTGGTTTTCTTGGCCCTAAATTGAAAAAATTGAAAAAAACAAAGTCTGTAGTGTAATCGTCGGGTTTTTCATTTCTTTTCTCTGGGTCTGTCGTCTGGATCCCTTGCCTTAGTCCTGGTTAAGAAGCTTGATTGAAAATAACTACTTGCTTTATGGTTTCGTTCGCTTGTTTCTCCTTATTCCGTTTGTTTGGTTTAGCTTCCTCTTCCTGTTTGACATGTGTGCTTCAGAATTCCTCATTCTCTGTGACATGTTCGTCCTTCTATAAACTCCTCTTCCTCTTTCCCATTCTCTGTTGCTCATCTTTCTCGAGTCTCTTCATTTGCCTGCCTTCTTTATCGTCAAACCTCTGCTACTCCTCTTCGACCCCCTCGTTCTCATGTCCTGCCTTGTTTCTGCCTTTGCTCTTTGTCCTCATTATCATTCTCCTTGATTGAAGAAGAGCGGAGAAGGGGAAGAGACTATTGCTCTCTAATTTTCTGTATTTTTTCTTCGGTGTTCTTTATTGTCTCTTCATCTGCACGGTTTCTATAAGGACACAATCATGAGTCTTCTGTTTTTTTTTTTTTGTAATTGTGAATCCAAACCACTCCTGTATGATGTCCTGCTTGCTGAGAGTTTATGGAGTTCATCATCAGGATGACTTCTCCCTCCCCTTGCTCTTTATTTTATTGTTCTTTAAGCACACAACCGTAAGAGTCTTTATGTGCTGTCTTCTCTCCCCCCCCCTTGCTCCTAACTGTTTTGTCTATCGTCTTATCTTCTTCCTCTTCTTCTTCGTTTGTGGATCTTCTTCGAAGTATGTTCTCTTCTCTTCCTCTTTACTCATCCCCCTCTTTGTGTCCTCTTTCTCTTCTTCTTCGTTCTGTTCTTGTTTCTCCTCTTCTTGTTTCTTTTCTTCCTCTTACATGTTCTCTAGCTTTTTTGTCATCAATAACTAAAATCTCTCGTTAATTACTAATACTGATTTTCTCGTCAGGTACGATCTGTATCTGTACCATTTTCTCGTCAGGTACGATCTGTATCTGTACCGTAGACTCTCCCTTTGAACGAAAAGTTCAGGCAGTTCAGGGAAGACAAAACTGCAGGAAGAAACTCTTAAGTAATATGCTACCCCTTGTCCTTCGGGACATCCGTTAAAATTGGAACGATACAGAGAAGATTAGCATGGCCCCTGCGCAAGGATGACAAAAAAAAAAAAAAAAAAAAAAAAAAAAATGCTACCCCTTGATCGAAGGCACACCGTAATGGATCAACACTACTGTTTTCTTGATTTACGCACCCCCTTTCCCCCGTTTATGGCGCTACCGCCAAAGGCAGTGAACGTTTTCAGTTGGTACTACGAGTGGAGAAAACATTCTGAGCTAACATCCTAGTACTAGGTGCTACGGCACTGAAGTAATCCATGCCGAGGGGAGGTAAGCTCTACGGAGGGGGAGTAGTAAACTTTACTGAGGGGGAGTAGTAAACTTTACTGAGGGGGAGTAGTAAACTTTACTGAGGGGGAATAGCAAGATCGACTGAAGGGGAACAGGAAGATCTACTGAAGGGGAATAGGAAGTTCTACTGATGGGGAAGAGTAAGCTCTACTAATGGGGGAATAGTAGGCTCCACCGGGGGCGGGGGGAGAAAGGAGAGCAGGTTCTAGTATTCTTGTTGGGGGGGGAGGGGGGGGGGGAGAGATCTCGCTTCCCCCCCTTTTTCCCCTTACACGACGGTACTATCACAGGCAAAAGACGCTTCCAGTTGATACTAAAAGGGAGGTAAGCTCTGCTGAGGAGTACACTGTAAGCTGGACATTCTCAGTTCCAGTAGACATTTCCAGTTCCATTCACAGGATAGGGGTAGGGCAGGGGTACCACGAGTCCCTCTGTCCCATTCTGTGAATGGTTCACCGGTCCGATCAAATCTCCAAAGACGTTTCCAGTTGCACAGGCATGCTCGCGGCGAGCTTGCGGGCCTAGTTGCATCACTCGCCATCCGCCAACATTTTGAATGAATCTGAACGTGGTACTTGTCCTAATTCATTCAAAATGTTGGCGGATGGCGAGGGTTGCAAACTAGGCCCTTGTATGGAACTGGAAACGCGTCTTGCAAACGGTTGATTGTTTTCAAAATCCTTTCCCGGCTACCTGAGGGAAACTCTGACTCTGGCTTCTTCCTTCTCATTATGTTCGTTTTGCTATCTTCTTTCTAGTGGTGCATTTTCTTCGTCTTCTCCTGAGTCTTCCCGTTCTCTTTGTTGAATTTCTCCCTCTTGTTAGTCGTTGCCCTTCTTCTTTCTCGTTGTCGTTCTCCTTTGCCCCTCTTGTTCGTCCTCGTGCTCTTCCTCTAGCTGTAGTCCTTTCTTTTCCCCTTCGAAAATGGCGACGGCCTTAACAAATCATCGCCGAGCTGACCGGCCCCAACAGGTAAGTCAGGTATTTCATGCGTCTAGTTCCATCTGGATTGAACTCAGGTCTGTGTTTCAACAGTTCATGGGGGTACCAACTGGGCTAGGCCCGTTGGTCTTGCTGTAGTCTTCGTTCTTGTCCTCGTCTGTCTTCGGTGTTGTTTTATGCCTCCTTTTCTTCATCTTCTTTTTTTGTTCTTCTTCTTCATCGCGGATAACGACTCTGGAGTAAGTTTCACTTCACTTCACTTCTTCTTCATCGCGGATAACGACAAGTTTTAAAGTTTGGTGTGTGCATTTTCAATTTCCAAGGTTTTTCTTTTTCATTAAATCGAAAGCCATTGCGGATAACGGGAATCGAACCCATATACAACTTACCTTTAATATATATCCGCTATTTCGCATCCTGCCTTGTCTCTTCATTTCCTCTTCTTCGTCGTCCTCTTCGGTTCTGGAACTTCTCATTCATGCGTGGCGATGATAATTGGATCATAGATTCTGCTGATGGCTGGTAAGAGAGGAGGAAGCGATGGAGGCAGCGAAAAAGGGAGCAGATGCAAGTCCAGTGCCCTTACCCTNAGAGCTCGCTGGTTCAACGAGCGCGCCCGCTCCGTCGTTAGAGATAAGAGGTGGTCCCCGCCCTTCCTGCTGAATGTTGCTAATGTTAACTGGTCGGTTACGTTAGCTGGAGTTTAATCGGGGTCAATGCATGGGCTGGACGCAAACGCACGTTCAGGGACGTGGGGGAGAGCGTGTGCGAAACGCTCTTACTTCCTGTTGATCTGCTCAGGCCTTGGGCATCGCTGCACCGCTCTCGACATGCACGAAAGACAAAAATCATGGCGGTGTATGTTTCCATGCTCTAGCGGAAGATTCACTCTCGTTTTGCACATTTCGAGAGTTGTCGCGCTGAACGTCTCTACCGTTTGTCTTCTTTCCGCTTGATGTGCAGGGATCTGTTTTTGTCTTTTGGTGGCTTAAAAAAGGTTATTCGGGTTACTGTGACGGTCAGATATCGAGGGTATCCCATTCAGGTGACGGTTCGGGAGGCTCTCCTTGGGCGGGAGACACATCTCGGTACCCAGTTCCCAACTACTGACCTTCCTGCCGTAGCCGCCCTCATGTGAGCACCCTAGACCGTGATTGCAGGTCCCCGGCCCTAACCACTCGCACTTGTTCTCTTGCTCGCCCGCTCACTAGTTTTCTAGATGCTTATTACTGATTTCTTTGCATGTTATCATGGCACCTATTATTAGTCTTACTCCATGGTACCTACTCCCTGGGTCCGTGCAGTACCACTCGATTTCCTTGTCCGTTAGCTGTGCAGGGTTCTTATCCCGCGTTGCGTCCCTTCTCCGTCATCAGCATTTACTCTCGCTTTTCTTTTCTAAGCCTCCGTTGTTTTTTTGTCTCTTGAGGTGAACAGGGGCAAGCTATCCTGAATGAACGAAAAACTTACCTCGAGGCTCGAACTACTGAGTGTTCTTGTACCGAATATCCAATAACACGGTACTCTTTTGCCGGTTTTCTTCAGTGTTTTGATCGATGATAACCGCCTTTTTGTAGCACTGCATTTACTATGTAACTGTTTGAATTGCTTCATTAATAATTAGGTCTCATTTTTGCAGCTATGCGGATTTCTTTCCGTCACTAGAATTGTGGGATCGAGTCTGGTTGTTGAGGCTGTTCTGTATTTAGTATTTGGCTGATCGTTTGATGGATGGTTTGAAAAATTACAGGTTTATTATTACTTGTAGTTGTCTGATTGGACGGACTGTTTGTTTGGTGGTATGATTGAATAATTGAATTAGTATTTCATTGCACTTTGATCCCATTATTGGACCGATTATTTGGACCTTTTAGTTATGCGATCGATTATTTGATTATTTGATTGTTTGGTTCACGAGAATCGGGGATATATTACTTCTTTTAGCCCGTTTGGGGATAACCAATCTCTGCTCTTTTCTGGCTGGGAGGATTGCATTTGAATTGCGCAAATTAATTCGATTTAGTAAAGTTGA